TCGGCGAATGTGGCACCATTAAACACTGTCACACTGTTCTGCTGGAGGACAAACAAAAGGGCGAGCTGTTTGTGTGGTTGCACATGGCATTCCCTCCACTGAGCCCCCTCTGTGTCCCTCCGCCCGCCTCAGAGAGCCTCTCTCTGTCACTGGGTTTGTGCACGGCATGGAAATATCTGCTTGATAGATTGATAGGTGGGTCGACGGGCTGACAACCTGTGATATATGACAAGAAATAGCTCCGATTTACACAGGTTCCTAAGCGAGTCAGTCTTAGCTGGCAGGTTGCAGGCTCTTGACATTTGCGCGTGTTTGGCCTGCGTGTCTGCGGCACTTTGCACTTCAAATACGCTGTAGTTTTAAAATATGACCCCATTCCTTGAGCTTGCACATTTCATCCAACATCCTTTGAGTTGAAAGGTGTCAGAGACACTTGAGAATTGGCACGAACCGGGTATCAAAGCCCATATTTTGTTCTTATGCCAAATGATCGAGGTGTGTGAGCACACTACAACACAACCATTCACATATCTACTATGTGAAGCAAGCCAAGCGAGCTGGACTACTCCAGTGTTAGACACTTTATATGGCTGATTCAAGTCTAGCAATAAGCTTTACATAATCAGTCTGCTGATAAAGACCTGATCTTGTGGTTGACAGTTCAGGAAAGGATTACTGCATCTAAACCTTGCACCTTTCAAAGTGCTGGTTATTGCTAAACTGCACATACAGTATGTTTCGAAAAATGAATGCATACCTAGAAAGATAAACACCAGCTACACATCTCAAAGTCAGAGGCACTTTGTTTTCAGGACCTGTTAATTTGTGGTTAAATGGGATACGGCGCGTTAGAAACCGTCATTGTCCTGGGAGGACTAATCATTCAGGTCACATTGCTGCACAATGGCTGCTATATTGTATCTGCATTCTTGGGAGAAACGGCTATGCACACTGAGCTCGCCTGTTGGTTCACAGACCGGAATACTGACGGCATTGTTCACGCCTCAAAAAGGCCCCTCAATTTGTGGGAATCGCAACCTACATTTCAGCTAAATGAAAAAAGTAGAGCAACATTAAGAAGATGAGATGAGAAAAAAAACAGACTTACATCACAATACTTCATGCCTATTGGTTAAAAATACATCAAAACATGACAGAGTTTGTAGTTTCAGAGAGGAGCTCAGGGGAGGAGGACTTTGTCTCTGGGTTTTATCTTAATCTAAATGTTAACTTATGTTAAGTTTTATGATTTGAGCCATATTGCTGTGAATAATAATAATCTTATAACTTCATATATTAAAGTAGCATCTTGCAAGCTGTGCAGGAAATAGAGAGTAATTATGCAATGATTTAACTCATGCTGAGCAAAGCAATGCTAAGCTAATGGGCTAGCCACATCAGCTATAAAATTGAGCAATTTTGAAGCATAAATGTTGCTGGAAAGGATTTATTGCATGATTATTTTATCTTAATCTTTTCCTGCTATCAGTTACCAAACCGTTTGTTCTTTGGACTTTTGATTAGGCTAATCTGATATCTAGATCAGATTGCACAAAGGATTACAGAAACTAGTCCGAATCAAAATAGTGTACAATAAGAGTAGTGGAGATGTAATAAAACTCCACCCATCCACTAAAACTTCACCCTGTCTATTTTTTTTTTATCATCAACATGTTGCAGAAGATGGTAGACTTCTCTCTAGGCCTTATTGTTCACTTCAGCACTTTTCAAACATACTGACAGGAAAAATGCTTTTTTCCCCCATAATGCTGTACAACAACAGTCTCAGTTACATTTCTCAGCCAAACAATCAACACCATTCACACCATGCACGGAGAGTATTTCAACAATTAACAGATAAATGTATCCGAACAGACATTTCTGTATGACATCAGAGTAATCTTGTCAGTATCCATCGTTACATTGTCAGGGTTTGTAGGTTTCATGGGGTTTCATCCAGTAGGCTAGTTTGCTTTGGATCTTTCCCAACCAAATGAACTGACTGAAATATGTCAGCAGCAGCCATATTCTGCTGCTCATACTCTCCAATATTGTAGCCAAATACTGTGGCTACAATGCTTCCTTTATTATCTCCTTTCACATAGGAAACACTGAATTGAAACTTTCCCACAACACCTACTGGCTGAAATTGCGACTCTTTCTTCCTTCCATCACAGTGCTGTGAGAAAGTACAAATATTTCACCGTTGTAAACAATAGTTTATGTAATTTTTGAATGAGGAAACTATATAGTAAACCCCCATAAAGCACAATCACCAGCATCTGATGTGTAACAGCACCATGGAAGCAACAAGCCTCCCTTCTTGGATCCCGTGTTTCACATGTGACTCACACATAACACAACACATTCAATAAGGCAAATGAGCTTAAAACCTCTACCAGCATGGCAGGTTCATTCTGCAGGTCTCAATGCCATTTTTTTCCTGGCCGTTCATACCTTAGTATAATTACAGCCCCCATCTGGCTGTATGGGTGAGATAGAAGATGAAGTGATACCACAAACAGCATCATACGTTCATGGAAGTTGATATGGCTGTTACACCACTTTTTTAAATTTATTTATTCGGAAATCTTTGTCCAACTGATACGGTGCCTCTCATCCTGCCCCATTAACTTTGGGGCTTTCTTGACTTTGACCCTTGCTTTTCAGGCCACAAAGGCAGAAGCAGAAGCTAACATTTTTTCTCAAGGAAAAAAATATATATATATATATATGTATATATTTTTGTTGTTGTTGCTTTTTCAGCACTTTCTAAATTAGTTAGAAATTAATTTCCATGGCTAAGAATTGAAAACAAAACCTAAGATGGTCATTGATTACGCTTCCTCTTCTTGATCGTTTCTGAATACAGGGAAGTGAAATCCATTAGAGTCTTGGGAAACATCACAACAACATTATTTCTAAGTTTTTCAATTTCTAACTTTTTCACAGACCATGCAAATTCACCAAAGTCTAAGCCTCCCGAGAGTCTTTTGCTGTCGTTCTTTTTGGGACAAGTGCACGGACAAAATACAAGATCGGCAGTCATGAATCACATATAAAAACACAAGTGGGAAAAACACATGAAATGTTTCAGAACAGCCTGGTGGCTACGGGCCTTTCTCATCTAGGTTTTTCTACAAGTAAAAGATGCTTTCTTTGTATAATGTTGAGCTGATAAGCCCATTGTGA